AGCTCCACTGCGGGCTGACTGGGGCCCCCCAAGCAGACAGCAGGCACCCAGCATGCAGATGCACATGATGCTGACTCAACGCTGCGAGCTGAAGCGCCCACGCACACACCGCTCAGGATGGATGCCCCGATTTTCTGGCCGCAAGACTGGGATCAGACACGGCGGTTTCAAAAAGTTTGGGACATCGATAATTGCGGTCGAGAATGCTGGGGGTATGCAGAGGGGGGCTCAGACGGAAATGGCAGAGGACATCGGAGAGGAGGAGGTGGACCCAGATGAACAAGGAGGAAGACCTAGAACGTAGAGCACGTGAGGGAGGACCCAGAGGCCTTCTCTTGGGAGAAAGTGGGCAGAGGCCAGTGTGTATAGGCAGCAGTGGACAGCGCACGGTACCGAGCCGTGCGAAAAAGGCGGACAGCGGGAAGACAGCTGATGAAACAGGCCTCGGCATCATCAGCTACGATGACGGGGCAATCCCGTGCGCACAGCGCGGGCAGCTGCAACAGGTGGCCAGCCTAGGTGCGCGCCCTGACGCCATCAACAGTGACGCTGGACCGACGTCGTGCCCAGCTGGCGGTGAATGCGAGCCCGACACCATCAGCTGCAGTTTTGGGGCCTACCATTTCCCCGACTTCACCCTCGAAAATCTGCCTCGTTCGAGAGCAGACCCGTCGATCGCTAACTACCTCGTCCTTCGCCCTCTTGAGGAGCGAGAACCCCCTGCGGTGGCAGCAGTGGCGGCTGAGGTCGGGCACGACAGGAAATGACAGACGTCCCCAGCTACGTCCTCGGCTACGTTCGCGAACCAACATGCGCGAGAAAATTGAGGCAGTGGCAGCAGGCGACGTGGCAAGATCTGAACGCCGTGCCATACCGGCTGCCACCCGGAACTGGAGCACGCGCGAAGAGGCGGCAGTGGCGGCAGACGGCGCGGCGATAGCTAGAGAAGGCCAGACGCCACCGGCTGCAGAATGGAAGCGACGTGCACGAGAAGCGCAGGCAGCAACAGTGGACAGCAGTGCGAGAGCTGGATGCCCGACGTTCTCGTCTGCATTTAAGTCGGGCGTGTCCCCCTGCAGGGGGACTTTCGACGAAAAAAGAAAAATACCCCAAACATATCCCAAAAATACCGAAAATTATCAAAACATCGTCCCCTGACTATTTTTGCATATTTTTGAATACTCTCCCTGTAGAGGGACGGGCCCGACGTAAGTCTACATGCCAACTGATGTGCTCCGTACGACATCAGCTACAAACCTGGAAGCGAGAGCGCGCACGGAGAGAGCCCGCAGCGACAGCAGCAGGAGATACAAGAACCGTGAACAAAAACAGACTGAAAGGGGCCCTGCGACACACAAATAAAAGTAGACACAAATAACAGGATTCCTCTTATCTTCCCATATTTTCTGGGTGTTCGTCTTCCCCCCCACACTGCCCATATTTTCCCATAACCTGGGAGTCGACGATTAATTGTGTCTGTGTTTGTCCCCTCCTGAAGAAGGAGATACAAGAACTGTAAAAAAACATACGTCATCAGCTACAGGCTGGCAACAGCGTGTGCGAGGCGCGCCAGCAGTGGCAGCAGACGGCGACGAGGCGGCAGGATACCAGACACCACCAGCTACGTGCGCGAGACAGCACGCGCGAGAAGAGTTGGCATAAGGCGCCGAACGACGTCGTGCGTGCTGGATACCGGAATCAGCTACAGCCCACAGCCAGCAAGTGCGCGAAGAGCTGGAACTGGGGGAAGACTACGTTGCGAGAGCTGTAGATGACCGGACGTTATCATGTACAGACTGGCGACAGCGCGTGTCAGAAATTTCGGCAATGGCAGCAGAAACTGCTGCGAGAAATGGATACCAGACGCCATAACCTACAAGCTCGGACCAGCTGGTGCGATACGGACAGGCTGTGACAGCAGGCAGTGGAGTGCGCAGTACGGGCCGCGTCCAGGCCAGGAAACTCAGAAGAAAACCTATAGCCTTTAGCTATCGGCGACACTGCAGAAGGCAGCGCTGGCAAACACTACTACAAGTGCACCGCTCAGGAGTTGCACGAGACTTCTGCGAGGTTGCGCTGGTTGGACGGTTCCCGGACCCTACTCCAGCGCGCAGCACTCCGCAGAATGTAAGAGGTTACGCGCGTCTGCACCGAGGTTTTCCACTACCTGGGCCCAGGCCCCCCTACCCAAACCCCCGACGTCGCGATTTTGTCTTTTCGTCCTGAGTCGTTTTTGGACGGTCCCGGGGCCCGGCGAGGGCCCCATGAGACCGAAAGTGGCCAAAAACATCCCGTCGTGATTTCTCCCAAGCGCGAGAAGCTTGAGCGCACGAAAACCGCCCCCCGCCCCCCACATGAGGAACTCTAGACCAACTAGAGACCGCGCGCGCTGGGCCCACCACCTGCGGCAGCTGGCGATGGCCTCCCTCGCAGGGCGCCTGCACCTACGCACACTCGCCACCATTGCAAAGCTCTGGCGTCCAAGACCCCCTTGCTGTGTGGGCTGTGGGGGGGGGGTCGGCTCCCCACCCCTCAAGGAGAGGCCCGGGCACGCCCGGCAGGTCGAGGCACGCTGCCAGCAGGGGCAGGCCTGCGGGGCTCGCGGTGCGGCGGGGCGGCTCCCGCTGCCCTCCCCCTCTTTGCTCTCGCCCGTCGTGGGCACGCGGGGCCTTCTCGAGGGCGCACGGTGAAGGCAACACCTCCGGCCCATCGCATTCGCTGCCTCGCACCGCCAGACAGCAACAGGAGGCGCCCTCCCCCCCCCCCCGCACATGGCCTCTGGCCCCCGCCGGCAGGGCCATTCCCAAGTTTGCTGGCGGGCCCGGCGGCGAGCGAGGGGGGGGAAGCGAGAAGGGGCGGGCCTTCTCAGAAGGCTCGGAAGTCCCCCAGCCTTCTGAGAAGTTTCCTGAGCCTCCTTTCCGATGGCAGAAAAACAACTCTCCCAGAAGGCGCAAGGGCTGGAGAAGTTCCGCCGTCTTCTCTCGCCGCCGATGGTCTTTCTCATCATGTCAGGGTACAGTAGGGGCTCGACCACAAGAAACCTTCCACAGAAAACCCAACCCTGAGACCCGAGGACGTCCATTGCTTTTCGGCGTGGGAACGCCACGCTCTCCGTAATTAGCAAAAGCATCGCAAGCCAAGAAACCCAGGGCGACCTGGAGGCAAGCAGGGTGTTTCTTGGCATGGGCCCCCACTGTATTTGTCCATGTCCACCGCCCGGGAGCCGACGCCCTCGAAGCTTTTCGAGCGGGGCGCGGCCAACGAGAGTGGCCAAGGATGGGCCGAGGAGGCAAGGATGCAAGGGTACACTGGGGAAGGCTGCCCTGCCTTACCATGCGGGTTGACTGCAGGTTGGCCCCCCGGGGACCCGAATGTGTCCATGCTCACCGCCTGTGGAGGTCCGAGAAGCATCAATCCTCCAGGCGGTGGCGACGTAGAAACCCCCGCCCTGGCGCAGCCACCCTCGCTGCGCCGCGTGGGACTCGGCCAGGGCGCAGCCCCCATCTGGCTCTCGCCGTGACGGTGGCCTCCCTCCGCCGCCGAGGGGAAGGAGCTGCGCAAGCAGGGCAGCAGCAGCATCGAGCGTGGCACCCCGGATCGCGTCCCCACAGCATTGGGTGTAGCAGCGGGCCCAGACCCCCGACGCCATGACCTGCTCACAACGTGGACCCCCGAGGTCTCGACCACTCCCAAGGGGTTGGGCTGTGCATCCCGAATCGATCATGAAGGGCCCGGGGGGGCCATTGTCAGACACACTCCGCCACGAGTTGTTCACAACGCGGTGAGGTCAGTGAGGGGAGGAGGACGAGGAGGAGGAGGAGGGGGAGAAGGAGAAAGAAGGACGAGGACGAGGAGGAGGAGAAGAAGCAGAAGAGATGTATACTTAATACGACGAATAAGAATGATAGAAATACAAATACGAAAAACAATAATAACAATAATACGAATAACTAGTAGTAGTCGGGACAGTAGTAATTATAATAGTACTAACAATACTGTGAGTGATAATAATACTAAGAATGATGTAAATGGTAAGTCTAGTAATGATAATAATGGGAATAATATAAAAGCATAATGATGATACGAATAACGATAGTAGTCATAATAAGAAGCATCAGCATCATCAGCATCACCAACAGCATCAGCATCATCACCATCATCACCACCATAATCACACTAATAATAACGGATTAATATATCGATACATGAATAAAAAATGAAGAATAACAAATGAAGCAATCCTGATAATACAAATTACAAGAATGACCATAAAACAAAAAAACAATACAAATAATGTTGTATGCCTGTAGTGATACAACAAAGCGGCAGAGTCACGGACTCGGCGCGCCTGGTCCGTGGAAAATGCCAGCTAACAGGGCCAAGAGGAGGAGGAGCAGGCAGAGGATGTTAAGAGGGGAGAAGAAGAGATGAGGGAGGAGGAGGACGACGACGAGGAGGAGAAGGAAAAAAAGAAGAGGAGGAGAGGAGAGGAGAGGAGAGGAGAGGAGAGGAGAGGAGAGGAGAGGAGAGGAGAGGAGAGGAGAGGAGAGGAGAGGAGAAAGAGGCGGAGGAGGAGGATGAGGAGGAGGTGATGAAACATCTGTCTTCAAAAATGCACGCGCACAAACTTTCAGAACGGCGCGCGGATCTCGTGGATCGGCGCTGGAACCCCCACCCGGCCCCTCCCTGGCGCGCATAGCGCGCCAAGGGCGGCGCCGGAGGCTCCGCCTGCAGCGGCCCAGCGCCGGTCCAAGAAATCCGCGCGGAGCTGCGAAAGCACTCGCTCGTGCAGCTCATGTTCCTGCCGGGCGCGCCAGAGGCGCAACACGGGAGGCGCACGGTGCCAGGCCGCGCGGTGCACGCGCGCGCACTCGCGGGACAGGAGGAGGACTGAGGACGCGAGGCAGGGATCCGTCCACATCCACCGAGGTGACGCCAGCGTCCTAGATAGAGGCCCCGGCGGGCGGTGCATGCAGGCATGGAGGCGAGGGCGGGGCCGCCGCAGGGAACCAGCCGTTGCCGTACCTGGCCTCGCAGACCTGGCCAGCGGCGAGCTGCCCAGCCGCCGCCGCCGCCGGGGCCTCGCCGCGGGCGCAGAATACGGGCGCGGGCGGCCCCGCGGCGCCCTCGAGAGATGCCCTGTCGGTCTCGGGCGCTCGCGGGCGCGGTCGGCAAGCATCGGCGAGTCCGCAGGCGGAGCTCCTCCTCCCGCTGCTGCTGCTGCTGCTGCTGCTGCTGCTGCTGCTGCTGCTGCTGCTGCTGCTGCTGCTGCTGCTGCTGCTGCTGCTGCTGCTGCTGCTGGTCGAGCGTCGAAAAGGATGAGGAACGTGAGAGACTGGAAGGGCATGAGGAGGAGAAAAGATGGCACACTCTCTGCCCGTTCCCCTGCCCCGTCCCTACCGCCACGCCGAAGTCCTCCTTTGGCTGGTACTGCCTTGGAACAGTTAGGCGCAGCAGGTCCTGCACCTAGGGAGCTTGCGTCCTCGCTTTTCAGCCTAAAACGCAAATGCCAGAAAGTGCGCTCAGAACGTTCCAGCGGCGCCTCGCCGGAACTTTCTGGAGTCAGTCTGTGTCAAGGCTGGAACCATCGCGGTTAGATGGGGTCGGAGGATCGCGCCGCATCGGCGATGCATCGGCGATGCTTCGGCGATGCGTCGGCGATGCATCGGCGACGTCGGCGTGGAGACAGTCGGGCTCGACATCGAGCCGCATCGCCGATGTATCGGCGATGCGGCGCGATCCTCCGACCCCATCTGCTCGGACCCCATCTGGGAGGCCTAGGGTCGGGAACTTGTGCTTAGCGTGTCGCGGCGGCGGCCCCGGCGACACGTTATGCCATGCAAACAGATAGCGTGTCGCTCCGCTCCGCGGGGCGGAAGTCTGGGAACAGCTTGGGACGTTGACGCTTGGGAATGGGAAGTGGATAGCGCTTCGCGCCGAAGAGTGGTGGGCCAGAACCAGCGGCGCGACACGCTAAGCCAAAGTTCCCGACCGTAGACCACGACTCCCAGAAGCTCCCCAGATGCTCCGATGTCCCTCATGACGGCAGAGTCCCGAGGAGAAGCCAACCGTGGCCACGGGGGCGCCTCAGGAGGCCCAGAAGCGTCCCAAGCCTTGATCCTCGAATCATCCAGGACCCCTTGCCTCCGGGGCCCCCCGTTCCTCCACGGCGGCCCTGAACGAAAGACCCTCAGCCGTCGCTCTGGAAGCGCTCGGGCCAGAATTCTGGCGTTGATCCAGCCTTGACGACGAGAAGCCTCCCGGAGGCCCAAGAAGGGCCGAAAGCGCCCAAACGGCTCGACTGTTGAGCCTCGAGCCTCAGCTACACGCAAGGGTGACCCCAGGCAAGAGCAACCTGTGGTGCGGGGCGTGACGATCTTCGCACGCGGTGCGACAGTATAGCGGCCTGCGGGCCTGGGCGTGACTCCCCCATCCCCCAACTCAAAGACCGCGCGCAGGTCCCTCGGGCGCAGGAGCACTCTTGCGTGCAGCCCACTCAAGCCTTAAGAGGTGCGCCGTGCGCGCGCGGGGGTCCGCGCAAGAACTTGCAGAGTCGCCTCTGCTCGAGGCCTCCTGGATGGGGTCCGAACACAGTCGGACCTGGGCCAGAAGAACATCCTCCGAGAACATGAGACCATGCGCCGGCCAAAACACACAGAACATCCAAGGGTACCCTCCCCCAGGATGCACAAGAGCGCCCAACAATCACGAAGAACACTAGGGTACCCTCCGCAAACCGACCTCGGTCTTATTCCTCGGTCCGACTGTAGATAGGATCGGAGGATCGCGCCGCATCGCCGATGCATCGGCGACGTCGGCGATGCATCGGCGCCGTCGGCGTGAAGAAAATCGGGCTTCGCATCGAGCCGCATCGCCGATGCATCGGTGATGCAGCGCGATCCCCCGACCCCACCATCTACTCGGGTCCCATCGGGGAGCCCTAGATTTGCGGAACAGCCTCGCGGTCGGATCGCGAAGCTCTCCAGCCCAGGCCCAAGAGGGGGGAGGCCAGGTCGGGGTGGAGGTGCGCTCTCTTTCCCCTCAGGGAAGACGTGGGCAAAAATTAGCCTGCCGAAGGACCCAACCAGCTGCGGTTGTGAATAATACAGTTGTGGGCATCGTCTTCGGAGGAGCTCCCTGTGGGGTCACGAAACGTGTGAGGCGTGTGCCCAAATGGGCGGGGGGGGGGGCGTGCGGCCGCGGCCACTGGAGCCTTCGGTGGAACTCCCTATGGGGCCACGAAGCGCTGTTCTGAGCTGGGGCTGGGGCCTTCGGTGGACCTTCCTATGGGGCGAAGAACCGTGTGAGGCGTGCGCCGAAATCGGTGGCGGGGCCTCATGCGAACTGGGCCACTGTGACCTTGGGCGAACTGCGGACCAAAGAAATGTGAGGCGTGTGCCGAAATAGGTGCGGGGACCGCATAGGAACTGCTCCTCCAGGATCTTCGATGGAACTCCCGATGGGGCCACGAAACGTGTGGTGCCGAAATGAGTGCGCGACCGCATGCGAACTGCCCCGCTGGGACCGCCGGTGGAGCTGCCGAAGAGGCCACGAAACGTGTAAGGGGTGTGCCAACATGGGTGCGGGGCCTCATGCGAACTGCCCCGCTGGGACCTTCGGTGGAGCTCCCTATGGGGCCCTGAAACGTGTGAGGCGTGTGCCGAAAAGGGTGCGGGACCGCATGCGAACTGCGCCACTGAAAACTTCGGTGGATCTCCCTATGGGGACCAAAAACGTGTGAGGGGTGCTCCGAGCAGATTGGCATTCTGAGGGCAAAGGCAGAGACGGGAGGAGGGAGGAGGAGGAGGACGAGAGGAGGAGGAGGAGGAGGAGGAGGAGGAGGAAGAGGAGGAGGAGGACGCAGGGCGCTGTCACTTCAAAACGAAGACCCAACACCACAGGATGGTTGGGGGCCCCAGGGACGCGACCCCGCGGAAACGGGGCGTTTCCTTCGCGAAGGCCCCGCGAGGAACGCCTCCGTGCCACCACGTATCCGCGGGGTCGCGCCCCCGGGGGAGCCAGACCGCGAGGACGTGGATGGTGGGTACGCTCGCCGCTCGTGAGCTTTGTCCTTCTCCTCGGAGCCTCGAGCCTCAGAAAAGCGCGCGCGCGCGAGCTGCGTGAGGGGCAACGATAGGGGGGGACTGGCAGAGGGGGGCGGGGGGGGGGGGGAAACATCGACCTGGAATCGGCGATACATCGCCGATAGCTCGGCGAGAGGCCCCCGATAGCGAATCCGCAGCGCACTGTGCAGCCTGGGGCTGTCGGGCCCCTGTCGGCGACCAATGGGCGATTGGGGGTCGATGCCCAATCCCCCCCCCTATGCCTATCCCCCCCTATGCCCCCCCTATGCCTATCCCCCCTATGCATATCCCCCCCTATGCCCCCCCTATGCCTATCGACCCTGTGCATACCCCCCTATGCCTATCCCCCCCCCTATCGTTGCCCCTGACTGCGCATGACTGGCCGCCGCCGGCCGAGGCGCGGAAGGGGCGGGTCCTCCCGCGCGCTGTCCCGCTCCCGGGCGGCGGCGGCTGCGGCGGCCAGGGCGGCGGCCTGGACCAGCGGGCTCTCTTGGGCACCGCTTTCTTGAATCGGCGATAACCGGGGTTATCCCGGGTAAAACGACGCGAAGATCGGGACAAAATCGGATCGGGATAACTCGAAATCTCTGAGAATCGGCGGGTTTGGAGGATGTATTGGGCGCCGCGGGCGCTCCAGAGCGTTCCGGAACGCTCTGAGAGCGCTCCGGAACGCTCTGGAGCGATTTATCCCGATCCTAGCCCTGTTTTACCGGGGGGGGGGGTAGGGGGCCGGCCGAAAACCTAACCCTCGCGCTGTGAGCAGCCCTGCATATGCCCGCGCCCACCCTCCCGCGGACCTGCACAACCGGCAAGGTTAGGTTATCCTGGGGGGGGGGGGGGGGGGGGGGCAAGCCCGACAACCAGGGTTACCGCCCGACCCTAAACAAAAACAGTGTCGAATCCGCGCCGAAGCCGCGTCGGATCCGCGTCGAGCCCACGCTGGGAGCACAAGGAAAGGCTGCCACCTACAGCACAGGAGAGGCCCCCCGAAGGTGCAGCGTAAGCTCTCCGCCTCCAGCGGGGGACCGGCTCCCTGGGGGAGGGCATCGACCTGGAATCGGCGATACCCTGAGACCCTGGTGCCGCAATATGTGACTACCTACCAGACCACACCAACCCAACCCGAAGACCCGAACTTCGGGTTCGGGGGGCTACGGGTTCCAAATGTGTTCTCTCAATGTTCCCCGACCCCCACCCAACTGGAAATGGAAGGCAAATTGAGGCCTTCGGGTTGTGTTGGGGTGGTCTGGTGAGTGGTGATCGGGGTGACCCAAAAGGGGGGTCCAGCTGAAAGGTGGTGGTGCAATAGATTTGGGGCAATTGTATTGCACATGTACTGCGCCGGAGAATTGTAGCGCATTGTATTGCAAGTGATGCATCGCACGCGAAAATCCAGCCATACATCTGCGCCCCGAAACGTATTGCACGCCCCGAATGTGTTGCAACCCCACAAATCGATTGCACGAAATCTATTGCACCACCCCCTTTTCGCTGGACCCCCTTGCGGGTCAACCCGAGGTGAATGTCTTCGCACGGCCGATGTTGCCCTCTCGGGTTAAGTCGGGCCTGTCCTCCTACAGGCCGATTTGGGACGAAATCCGCCGACCCTGTCGGCGTGTGGAAGAGGCTTTGTTGTTTGCTGCTTCTTCCTCGTCGTTCCTTTGTCCCGTTTCCCTGCAGCGTCGTCGTTTTTTGCCCTTTTCCTTTTCCTCGTCGTCTCTGAATCAAATGGAAGCCCCTTCCCTTTCTTCCCTTCCCCGCGCGAGGAAGGGGGTGGTCCCGTTCCTTTTCCTCGTCGTCTCTGAATCAAAGGGAAGCCCCTTCCCTTTCTTCCCTTCCCCGCGCGGGGGGGGGGTCCCGGGAGGGGGGTAGCGAGGGGGGTCCTGGGTCAGATACGCCGCCCTCCTGGGGATCCTCGGTCAGAGGGAACACCCTTCCCTTTCTTTCCTTCCCCGCGCGGGGGGGGGGTCCCGGAGGGGTAGCGAGGGGGGTTAGCGAGGGGGGTCCTGGGTCAGATACGCCGCCCTCCTGGGGCTTCTCGGTCAGATACATCGCCCTCCCGGATTCGCAATGTCGCCTCTGAATCAAAGGCAAGCCCCTTCCCTTTCTTCCCTTCCCCGCGCGAGGGCAGGGGGGGTCCCGGGAGGGGGTAGCGAGGCGGGGTAGCGAGGGGGGTAGCGAGGGACAGAGGCACCTGAGATGCCCATCAGACGTTCCAAGAGGCATCTCAAATTAACACGCCACTCTCGTGTTAAATTCTGTCCTTCGGGTCTTTGTGCCGACGACGACGACGACGAGACGACGACGACGACGCGTGCGACGTCGACGACGACGACGACGACGCCGACACGAGGACAGAATTTAAAACGCCACTCTCGTGTTAAGTTCTGTCCTTGGGGCCCTAGTGCCGACGCGACGACAAGGACGACGACGACGACGACGACGAGTGCGACGTCCACGACGTCGACGTCGACGACGACGACGACAACGACGACTCGAGGACAGAATTTAACACGCCACTCTCGTGTTAAATTCTGTCCTTCTGGTCTTTGTGCCGACGACGACGACGACAACGATGACGACGAGGGCGACGACGAAGCGTGCGACGTCGACGACGACGACGACGACGACGACGACGACGACGACCACGGACGACGAAACGAAATTAACACGCCACTCTCGTGTTAAATTCTGTCCTTCGGGTCCTTGTGCCGACGACAACGACAAGGACGACGCGTCGTCGTCGCGACGACGGGTGCGACGACGACGACGACGACGAGGACGACGGACGACGACGACGACGACGACGACGAGGAGGACAGAATTTAACACGCCACTCTCGTGTTATATTCTGTCCTCGGGGTCCTTGTGCCGACGACGCGGACGACGACGACAACACGAGGACAGAATTTAACACGCCACTCTCGTGTTAAATTCTATCCTGGGGGTCCTCGTGCCGACGCCGACGACGACGACGACGACGCCGACACGAGGACAGAATTTAACACGCCACTCTCGTGTTAAATTCTGTCCTGGAGGCCCCGGTGCCGACGGCAACGACAAGGACGACGACAACGACGACGGGTGCGACGTCGACGACGTCGACGTCGACGCCGACGCCGACGACGACACGATGACAGACTTTAACACGCCACTCTGGTGTTAAATTCTGTCCTTGGGGTCCTTGTGCCGACGCCAAGGCCAAGGACGACGACGACGGGTGCGACGACGACGACGACGACGTCGACGACGGACGACGACAATGACGACACGAGGACAGAATGTAACACGCCACTCTCGTGTGAAATCCTGTCCTTGGGGTCCTTGCGCCGACGACAACAACGACGACGACGACGGATGCGACGGCGACGACGGACAACGACGCCGACACGAGGACAGGATTCAACACGCCACTCTCGTGTCAAATTCTGTCCTTGGGATGCTCGTGCCGACGACGACGCCTAGGACGACGACGACGACGAGTGCGACAACGACGACGACGACGACGACGGCAACGACGGACGACGACGACAACGACGACGACGACGACGACGCCGTCGCACCTCCTGCGACCCCAGGCACTCACAAATGTCATGAACTGTCTGCCCCCAGTGTTGTAGTCCCCTGAAACGAGAGCTGCTCCCGAAAACCTCCTCCCGCATCATCCGTGCCTGTTTCTTCACCCCTCTCTGACAGCTTTCACTGGTCCTCCCCCACGTGTTCGTCGTCTCTGCCTGCTCCATCCATTAACTCCTGCTCCCCCTTCTCTACCTTTTCCATTTCTCCTCCGCATCTTCATGCTCCTCTTGCTCCTCCTCCCACCTGTTCCTCCTCCTTCACTCCTCCGTCTCCTCCTCCTCCCCGCCCTCTCCCCCCCGTTTCCCTCGAGAGCCGATGCCTCCAGGGTCGGCGGCACAGGCCGTAAGGCCGGCGCAATATAAAAAGTACCCCCAAAATACGCCCAAAATATTTCAAAATACTGAAACATTAGTCCCCCGACTTTTTTTCGACTACTTTGGAATATTCCTCCTGTAGGGGGACAGACCCGACTTAACTCTCGGGCCCCGGGACCCTCACGAGCGGGTACAGCTCGAGGCGTGCCGCGGCAAGGCTGGAGAGAGCCGGGGTCTCAGGACGGGGAGGGGAGGAGGGTGGAGAGGGCGAGGAGGAGGAAGATGATGATGATGTGGATGAGGAGGATGATGTGGAAGAGTGGGAGAAGTGAGAGGAGGAGGAGAAGGAGGAGGAGGAGGAGAAGAAAGAGGAGGAGGAGGAGGAGGGTCAGGAGGAGGAGGAGGATCGCCAGAGCGCAACCATTCATGCATCAGCGGGGAGTGTCGACCTGGAATCAGCGACACATCACCAGTAGACGGGCGACATTCGAGGAGCAGAAAGCGGCAATCTGTTGCGGCGGCGCTGGAGGCGCCGCCAGGGGGGCCCAGCCCCGTTCCAAACAATCTGCGCGGACTTCTTCTTCATCTTCTTCTTATTATTATGCTTCTTATTATTATTCTTATTATTATCCTTATTATTATTAGTATTATTATGATAATTTATTTGTTTATTCTTCTTTGTCGTATTAGTATCATTATTATTACGATTATTAATACTATTATGATTCATCTTCTTATTCTTGTTATTATTCTTATTATTATCATTGTCATTCTTATTAGCATTATGGTTATTATTATTATTATTATTCGAGACGGGGTCCGATAGCGAGACCGCACGATCCTGGGCGGGGTGGGGCTATCGGGCCCGTGATCGGCGATGAGTGGGCGATTGGGCTTCGATGCATCCGCCCATTTTAGCATCCATCGTTGCCCCTGATCCATGTCCCACAGCGGGTTCACATGCGGACCGTTCAACCTCGAGCGATCGCGACCTTCCCGTAGCGCAGACCGTTCGACATCGGACGATTCCGGGCCTCTCCCCCCTCCCTTGAAGAGAAGAAACCGGCATGACCTTGGATTTTCGAAGGTCCGCGCGGCTTTCTTGGGCTGGCGCTGACAAGCCCCCTCCCCGCACCCCTGGCGGCGCCGCTAGGACGCGGCAGCTCGAGAGGAGTTGCTACCTTGGCCCTGGTTGATTCAGAAGCATGCTTTGTTGGAGTATCCTGTGGATGGTGGTGATCACTCCCTCGCTTGTTTTGCACCAACTGCTGTAAGCACTCTGACACTAGCCGACTCAACCACAGGGGCCTTGACTAGGTCTGCTGCGGTCGGGAAGGAGCCAGCGGAAGGATTGCCGAGGACACTCGCCACTTCGAGACTCGTCGACACCCTCAATCCCTCCGTCCTGACATTAAGTTGCTAGACCCACGTAGGCCGTCGGCCAAGGTGAGGGCCGCCATTGTCGATCGAAAGGTAAGGCTGACCCTTTGGCTGAGCCCTCGGATGTTGTTCACCGTCCCCGTGGGAGGATGCGGGCCGAGCCTCAGAGGTGCCCGGACACAGCTGCCATTATGAAGGA